AGCTTTAAAAGAATAGAATCGCTTATAAAGGAATTGCAGATAATTAGATCAGAATAATTCCTATATAAAGCTTTTAAAGCAAACTATGCTTATATTAAGCTCAACATATATATTTAAGAATATAAATATAGCATACTATTGAATAGTAACATTCAGAAAAACTTTATATTCTTACATATCATTAATTAAGCATAATTACAATAGAAATAAAAAAGATGCTTATATACTCTTAATACTATAAAGAAACAATCTGTTTCATACAATTAAGAAATAATCAACAAGAAAACTAATCATTTATCTATCTTAATTCAAGAATGTATAATTAAGATTTCTTTTAATATTATAAATATAATATAGCATGAGCTAATTATAAAACTTTTATAGCTCAAAGAGCATAATTCTCGAATCAATTGAACTACTAGCTAGATCTTATAAGAACAAGCTATATTCAAAGAAATAATTATAATCAATAATACAGAATAAAAATTAGTTATTAAAGAATACTCAGAAAAAGAAGCTTTATATAACTTCATATATACTTTCAAGTTAGCAGAACTAGCAATTCAAAGAGAAGAACCTAGTAATAAGCGAATCCAGATAGTGCTAGAATGCTAACAGATTAGCAAAACAACAGAAGCAAGGCTTTCAGCAAATCAGTTCACTCCGGAGCAATAAGAAGAAGCTTTAGAAAGTGAATTATAGATTTATACAAGAAAAATCTTAGAATTAAGCTCTCAAGCGCTCAGTTCAGCTTAGAACAAATGCTTAAAACTCTTAAAAACATTATCAAAAACAACAAACGAAAAGAAGTATGCTTAATAGTATTTACTATTCCTCCAGATAGCAGAAACAATATATAAATTAGAACTAATACTTGCAAACTTATTATAAGAATACTACAAATTCAAGAAATTATTTCAAGAAGAATTGAATATAGAATTATTAGAATACAGCTTATATAATCACGAGATCCTATTACAAGAAGGGAAATAGCTTAAATTTTTTCTTATCTACAGATTAGATAAAGCATAATTAGAAGCACTTAGGAAGTATCTTAATAAAAATCTCAAAAAGAAATATATATAATTATTACAATTATTAGCAGAATATTCTATTCTGTTTATACTAAAAAAGAATAGCAAGCTTAAGCTATATATTAATTATAGATAACTCAATAATATTATAATCAAAAACTAATACTTATTATTACTTATTAAGAAATTATAAGATAAGCTATAAGGAGTATAGTAGTTTATAGTTCTAAATCTAAAAAAAGCTTATAATCTGATTAGAATAAAGAAAGAAGAAGAATAAAAAACTGCTTTCAGAATATGCTATGAATATTATAAATATTTGATTATATTCTTCAGCTTAATAAATGCTTTAGCTTTATTCTAGAAAATAATCAATCATATTCTATATAAGCATCTGAATCAATTTATTATTGCTTATCTCAATAATATTCTTATTTACTCTTGAATACTAGAAGAATATAAGAAATATATGAAAATAGTATTACAAATACTTTAGAATGCGAAACTTCTTATAAAATCTGCAAAGAATTACTTTTATATACAAAAAATTAATTATTTCGAATTTATAATTAAGCTAGAATGCATTAAACTATAGAAGAATAAGATAAAAGCTATTAAGAACTAGCTAATTTCTAGAAATATTAGAAATATTAGGTTTTTTCTTAAATATATCAACTTTTACAAGCAGTTTATCAAGAACTATAGCTGGATTGCATATTCTCTTACAAATCTTACCAAAAAAGAGCAGCTTTTCGAATAGATCTCCAAAGAATAAGAAGCTTTCGATAAGATCATTAGATGCATTATCTTAGAACCAATTCTGTATAAAGCAGATCCTTATAAACCTTTTGAAATTGAAACTGATATATTGGAATATATACTTGAGGAATAACTTGATTAGCAAGATGATTAAGAGCATTTAAGAATTATAAGTAACTTCTTAAAAAAGTTAAATAGCTTAGAAGTTAACTATAAAATCTCTGATTAAAAGCTTATAGCAATAGTGAAAATCTTCGAGAAATAGCAATATTATCTTATTAGCACATAATATTAAATCATTATTCATTCGAATTACAAGAATCTAACTATATTCATAACAACTAAAGTCTTGAATAAGCAATAAGTTAGATAAGCAGAATTCCTTTTACAGTTTAACTTCAGAATCATATACTGCAAAAGCTTAGAAAATAAATAAGCAGATGCTCTTAGCAAGAGAATAGATCATTAAAATACAGATTTCTCAGATATATAGAATATTTTCGTTCAAAACAAGTTAGAAAATCTTATTAATGCATATAAAGAACTAAATACTGCTTTCAGAATTGAATTCTCAGAAAAGAATTTAAAATTAATAACTCCAGATAAATAAAATAGCTATATCAAGAATATATATAATATATCAATGCATAAGCATTAGAGAATCAGAGCAATCTATAAATATATTAAAAGATATTGAAATTTATTAGATTTTAGGAAAAGAATTGAAAACATTCTATAATAATACAATAGCTATAAGAAGAATAAAGCAAAAAGATATAAGCCTTATAAACTACTATATCTCTTATTAATACTTACAACTATTTAGCAATTCATTAATTTAAACTTTATTATTAAGCTATTTCTTTTATAAGAATTCTTAACTAAAATGCAATATAATAGTATTCTAGTAATAATTTGCAAACTAAGCAAGTATGCTTACTTTCTCTTCTATAAAAAAAGCAGCATAGCAGAAGAACTTGCATATGCATTCCTTAGAACGATTATTGCTAACTATAGCATACTAGAAGAAGTAATCTCTAATAGAAACAGAAAGTTTAACTCAAAATTTTGAACTTTGCTTATGAAATAGCTTGAAATATACTACAAGATATTTATAGCATTTCATCTGCAAACAGATGAACAGATGAAAAGAATAAACTAGATTATTGAGCAGTACTTTTAATATTATATTAATTAGAAACAGAATAATTGAATTAATCTATTGCTCCTTACATAGTTTGCTTATAATAGCGCAGATATAAGCATAATAAGGAAATTATTATTCTTCATACTCTATAAATATAACTTAATAGCTTATTATAAAGTATTATCAGAAGCAGATACAGAAGCTGCAGATAAAAGAATTAAGAAGATTAAGAAAATTTAGAAAGAGCTTTAATTAGAACTATAATTCGTTCAGAAACGAATAATGCAATATGCAAACTCCAAAAGAATCGAGAAACCAATTCTACAGAAGGGAAATAAGATTTATTTACTTTGAAAAAACATTAAAACAATCAAGCTTAGTAATAAGCTTGATTATAAAATATTAGAATTATTTAAAATCTTGCAAAAGATTTTCCTAATTAATTATAAATTAGTATTATCTTATAGGATAAGAATATATCTAGTTTTCTATATCTTACTGCTAGAATTAGCAGTATAAGAAATATTAATGAATAATATAGCAGAGATAGAAAACAATAAACTAGAATACAAGATAGAAAAAATTCTTAAGCATAGAAGCATAAATAGTACAAGGAAATATTTTATTAAATAGAAAGATTATTCAGCAAGCGAAAACTTATGAAAATTACAGAAAAATGTTAAGAATGCTTAGAAAAGAGTAGCTGAGTATTGAAAGAGAAAGAAAACTAGCATTTAGAATAATTGCTTTACTCTAAACTGAAATCCAGGAATCTCAGAAACCTTACTCTCCAGAAAACTCAATCAATCTATTACAGAATTCCTTATATCTACAGAATTCCAATCAAACTCCTCAAAAGAAAAATCTCTAACAGCTACAGCTAACTTCTTCAAAATAGCTTTCTATACAGCAATAGCAGTATAGTAATATTTCTCTTCAGCTTTCTTAGCTTCAATATAATCCAGCTTCTTTACATTATTAATACTGCAATAAATAGCATATATTATTTTCTCAAATCATATTCATTTCTACTTGCATAGCTGAAGAACTTTTTCCTTAGCAGCTTATAGCTCATTCTTCAGCTCTCAGTGCTAAGTAATAATCTTGCATAGCTCCAAAGAACTAATACTTTATATATTATATCGGAAACAATTAAGTTAAATACATTTAGTATAATAGAAAGAATCGAAAGAAGAAATTTAGCAGAAAGAAATATCTTAATCCTTACAAAACAAATAGAAAAATATAGTAAAAGAATGTTGAAGAATAGCAGAAAGAAAGCTTTCACATTCCTTAGTTTTTTGAGAATGGAACTTAGGAATACAAGATTTGTTGATTTTATTCAACATCTCAATTAGAAAAACAAGATTATGCATATAAAGAACTTGCTAGAATACTTACAGAAAAATGTTGAGAATAATAACTAATAGAAAGAAAATGATATTATAATTCATTTAATATGCAGATTACGAAATAGATTACAAGCAATAAGAATCAGATATTAAGAATCTAATATTCTAATAGAATATTGATTATATAATCTAGGGTTAGGATTGCAATAGAGATGGATTACTGGATCATTAAGTAATCCAGTAAGCTTGGATTATCTAGATCAGTAGTAAGCTAGGATAAGCTATACTGAAAAGCTGAGTATATAACTATACGTTCCTTATCCTTAGATAGATTCGATACATAGCTCTTCAGTTGTTAATCTAAGTATCAGATTACTCTCTTACTCTAATAGCTCCCAAAGGCAGTAAATACTTGCATCATTTCTCAGAACTTGTATGATTCCGTATTCAAGAATTTAATACTTTGATACTGCTCTTGTTAGCATAAACTCCTTTGTATACTTTGGAATCTTCGGATTACTGCAGTGCTCATTACATATAAGCATAATAAAGAAATTACTATTCTTTATACTCTATAAATATAATTTAATAGCTTATTACAAAGTATTACTAGAAGCAGATATAGAAGCTATAGATAAAAGAATTAAGAAGATTAAGAAGATTTAAAAGAAATTCTAGTTAGAATTACAATTCGTTCAGAAATAAATAATGCAGCATACAAATTCCAAAAGAATTAAAAAACTAATCTTACAGAAGAGAAATAAGATCTATTTACTTCGAAAAAATATTAAAATAACTAGATTTAGCAATAAACTTAATTATAAGAAATTAGAATTATTTAAAATCTTGCAACAGATTTTCTTAATTAATTATAAGTTAGTATTATCTTATAGAATAAGAATATACTTGGTTTTCTATATCTTACTACTGAAATCAGCAGCATAGAAAATATTAGTAAATAATATAGCAGAAGTAGAAAATAATGAATCAGAGTATAAAGTAAAGAAGATTCTCAAGCATAGAAGCATAGATAGCATAAGAGAATATCTTATTAAATGGAAAGATTACTTAGCAAATGAAAATTCGTAAGAATTATAGAAAAATATTAAAAATGCTTAGAAAAAAGTAGCTGAGTATTGAAAAAGAAAAGAAACTAGCATCTAGAATAATCGCTTTGCTTCAAACCGAAACTTAGAAGCTTTAGAAATCTTACTTTCCAGGAAATCCAACCAGTTTATTACAGAATTCCTTACATCTACAGAATTCTAATCAAATCTCTTAAAGAAAGAATCTCCAGCAATTATAACCAACTTCTCAAATACAGCCTTCTATACAGCAGTAGCAGCATAGTAATATTTCTCTTCAGCTTTCTCAGCTTCAATGCAATCTAGCTTCTCTATATTGTTAATATTATAATAAATAGCGTATATCATCTTTTCAAACTATATTCTTTTCTGCTTATATAGCTAAAGAATCTTCTTCTTAGCAGCTTATAACTCATTCTTCAGCTCTTAGTATTGAATAGCAATCTTATATAGCTCTAAAGAACTAATATTCTGTATATTGTATTGGAAATGATTAAGTTAAATGCATTTAGCATAATAAGAAGAATTAAGAGAAGAAATCTTATAAGAAGAAATACTCTGATTCTTACAAAATGAATAGAAAAGCATAGTAAAGGAATTTTGGAGAATAGCGGAAAGAAGACTTTTATATTCCTCAGTTTTTCGAGAATGAAACTTGGAAATACAAGATCTGTTAATTCTATTTAACATCTTGATTAGGAAAGCAAGATTATGCACAATAGAGCCTGCGGAATAACTTATAAACGATTATTAAGAATAATAACTGATAGAAGGGAGATAATATTATAATTCATTTAATATGCAGATTATAAACAGATTATGAATAATAAGAATTAGATATTAAGAATCCAACGTTCTAACTAAATATTGATTATATAATTCAGGATTAGAAATATAATAGAGATGAATTACTGAATTATTAAATAATCTAGTAAGCTCGGATTATCTGAATCAGTAGTAAGCTAAGATAAGCTATACTGAAGAGCTGAATATATAAGGATACATTCATTATCATTAGATAGATTTAGTACATAGCTCTTCAGTTATCAATCTAAGTATCAGATTACTCTCTTACTCTGATAGCCCCAAAGGCAGTAAATACTTGCACGGTTACTCAGTTGTGTTTTCCGTATTCAAGGCCCGCACCTAGCACTGCTCTTGTTAGCATAAACCCCTTATGTACTTTGGAATCTTCGGATTACTGCAGTGCTCATTATACTAAGAAATACTTAGAATTAACTTATATTCTGCTATATTTATAATATTAAAAACAATAGATATTATATAATCTTGAATTAAGATTAATAGATAATCAGTTTTTATATTAATTATATCTTAATTATATGCAATAATTTATTCTTCTATAATAAGAAGATTATAGATTTTCTTCTTCTAATGCTAATTAATATATACTTTGTTAATAATTCTGAGAAATATAAAGTTTTCTTAAGTACTACTATTCAATAGAGCTCTATATTTATTTCTATAAATATAAATATTGAGTTTTATATGTATTTTGTTTCTGCTGTATATAGTATATAGAAATCTTTAAGCTCTAATTATTTATAATTTCTTTATAAACAATTCTTCTCTTTTGAAATCTAAGCTTATTATGCTGCTTTTTAAGCAAGCTTTCTAACTTATTGCTATTTTGTTATAACCCATCCAACATGCAGATCACGAAAACAAGTCACGAGTAACAAGGACCAGGTGTTAAGAACCCAACGTTCTGATAAAGCATTGATTACATAACCCAGGATTAGAGTTGTAAAGGAGGGAGGATCGTTGAGCTCGCTAGCAATCCCAACAAGCTTCACACCTTGAATCGCTAGACTCGCCAGCGATCCCAACGAGCTGTACTGAAGAGCTGAATATATAAGAATATATTCATTATCATTAGATGAATTTAGTATATAGCTCTTTAGTTATTAATCTAAGTATTAGATTACTTTCTACTCTAATAGCTCTAAAGGCAGTAAATACTTGTATTGCTTACTAAGACTTGTATGGTTCTGTATTCAAGAATTTAGCATTTTGATACTGCTCTTGTTAGCATAAACTCTCTTTGTATACTTTGGAATCTTCGGATTGCTGCAGTGCTCATTACATTTTGATAATTCTTATTCAAGAACAGTTCAGTATTATTCTCTTGAGCAATACGGAATACAATAGCTTTTCTAGGAATTTCTTCGTTCTTGCATGCTTCTACTTAGAAAGAATTAGTTAATCAGATATACTAGCTCATTTAGCGAATTCAGAATCTATGCAAATAATAGCAAGCTTAGAGCGCTATTATTGCTAATTAATAAGCTTAGCTAGCTTAATAAGCTCAGCAAGCGCAGTCTATCTCTATAACTATTAATAGTATTAGAAAAGCATATAAGATGAATAAGCTTGCTATATATAATAGCAATTAAAAAATGCTATATAGATTTCTTATTTACTGCAGAGTGTATTTCCTGCATTATAAGATTCAGTTTACTAAGAAATCTGAGAAAGTTATTCTTACAGAAACTCATTTCGAAAAAAATGCTCTTATCTAATATAAGCCTTCTCTATATAATTACTTAGAGTATCAGAATAATCCCAATATACATACTCAGAGTACTAAAGATATATTTAATTCTTTTGAAAGCTTTGAGAAAGCTTTTAAGAAAACTTTTAATAATTCTAACAAAGAATATACTATAGCTTAGCAGCTTATAAATCTCAAACAGATTAAATCAGCTTCTGCTTATATAATCAGATTCAAGCAATTCTTAGTATAATTCCTATAGAAAGATAAGAATCTTATGAAGTATTATTATAAGAAATTTAAGAATAATATTAAAAATGAAATCTTTAAGCAGAATTAGCTAAAGAACTTTGCAATATTCTCTAATCAAGCTATCTGCATTAATAATCATCTATATGAATAATAAATAAAGAAGTTCAAGAAGAAAGAAAGCTAGACTTAAAGATTTCCAGCTAATATAAACAAGAAATTCTAAAATAAGAATAGCAATTAATATAGCAGTATAGCTTAGAGCAATACTATGCATACTGATTCTATAGAACTCAATACAGCTAATAGATAGTATAGCAAAAAGAATAATATTACTTGCTATAACTGTAATAAATAAGAATATATAGCATGCAACTGCTATCAATTCTGAAAAAACAAATAGCAATCAGTTCAGAAAGAATGCTAGATGAATATTGCTTAGCAACAGAAATCTAATCAATTAAGCAAAAACACTCCCTTGGAACAAGTATTAAACTCTATTAATTATAGAAATCTTAGCTGAATATTCTGCTATAATAATAACTGCTTAATATACTTCTTAAATAAGAAAGATTCAGAATAGTTCCCTTAGAAATCTAAATGCTGCAGATAAATAGCAATAGCAAAATGAGAATATATACTCAGTATTCCTACGAATAGCAACTCGAACTGCTCTAATATTATAGAATAGAGCATTTAAGCATTGGAAAAAGAGCTTAGTAATAATACTCTTCAACATTCTTTATTACTTATACTAAGCATTATAATCAGAAATATGAATAAGGAATAATATCTTCTTAGCTACTAGTATAAACATTTAAGCAATATAGAGAATGCTTCTCAAGCAATAGAAGGATCAAGCTAGAGCAAACAATCTAGCAGCCTGCAAAAGCTTTCTGCAAACAATATACCTAATAAGCCTAAAGAAAGATTTCTCTTCAGCATTGAATAGAATAAGGAAATAATATGAATTAAATATTTTATTTATAGAATAAAGCTAGAGAAGCTTTTCATCTGCATTCTCTTGCAAAACATCAAAGTACAAGAAAATAAGAATTCTCAAATCAGCTTACTTTACAATCTACATTATAAATTAGCTTAAATCTTCTATATCTATTATAGCTGCAGAATACATTTCTTAGAGAAGATGCAATACAAATGATTCCCTATCAGAGAATTAGAATAAATTCTTCAGGCTATTGAAGAACAGAAACTCTACTTCAGAGAAATTCTCAATAAGCAATACTACAATGCATATATTAAGCTATTAGATAATTGCTCCATGCAATATATAAATAAAAAGATAGAGTAATAGCAATGCAAAATAATACTCTGTACAATTCATATTAATAACAAGATTTGCAACTAGCATTAACAGAAAAAAGATTAGAAATAATAATAATATAAGCAAAAGCAAGCTAAGAAGCTTGCTCAAGAAGTAGCGAAGTAAGCTTAGAAGAACAAATAGTTCTTAATAAATTCAAAAGAACAGAATTGCTTGTAAAGAAACTGCAGATAATCAGATCAGAATAATTTCTATATAAAGCTTTTAGAACAGATTATGCTTATATCAAGTTCAATATATATATTCAAGAATATAAATACAGCGCACTATTAAACAGTAATACTTAGAGAAACTTCATATTCCCATATATTATTAATCAGATATAACTACAATGAAAATAAAAGAAGCGCTTATATACCCTCAGTATCATAAAAGAACAATCTGTTACATATAATCAAGAAGTAATTAATAAGAAAACTAATTATCTATCTATTTTAATCCAAGAATATATAATCAGAGCTTCTTTTGATATCACGAATACAGCATAATATAAGCTGATTATAAAACTTCTATAGCTTAAAGAGCATAATTCTCGAATTAATTGGATTACTAGCTAGATCTTATGAAAACAAGCTGTATTCAGAGAAATAGTTACAATCAACAATGCAGAATCGAAGCTAGTGATTGAAGAATACTTAGGAAAAGAAGCTTCATACAACTTCCTATATATCTTCAAACTAGCAGAGCTAGTAATTCAAGAGGAAGAATCTAG